GGGTGGCTAAAAGGGTACTCTTCTTATATAGTTCTGTCTGTTTAGGCGAAATTCTTTTTTATTAGACTCTTACTTATTTGTATGTACATTTATGTCGGGGCGCTACGTTTTTCATTAAAGAATAACGAGTCCCGGTGTCTCTCAACTCTTTTATATAGCTCCTTCTCGTTCAATTCTCTATGACCAAGTGTAAATTCTCGTCTCTTCTCCAAACCTCTAGTTCTGGTCGCATATTCTTGTTCATAGAACGCATTGCGACTCTGTGCGAAGTACATTACTAGACGTCCCGCTCTCACTCAGCGACACTCCGGACCACGTTCAGCAACAACTATAGTTGTCTCTCTCCTAGTGTCAATAAATTCTTTAATTGCACTACAATGCTAAATCAATCGATTAGCACGAATCGCCAGCGTAATATCGCACTGATACGACATATAGTATATTGCTGACATTCCTATGAGTTGCTGTAGAGTTCATACTCTAGGCTAATACTCTTTCCCCTATCCCTCAGACTCTTGGCATGTGCTCTACCCTATCTAAGTCGAGCTCCTAACTAATACTCGCTTCTCTTGACACATACTCTCTCTCTCTCTCTCTCACTCTATCTCTCTTTTGCTTCTTATACAGATTAATACCTCTGCAAAAACTCTTTAATATAAGCTCACACTTTAAGCAGACACCCTTCTACACAATCATTAATAATCTCATAACGCTCCGACCCCTAGCTTTTGCTCTTTCCTGTATCATGGAATTTAGCTACTTTACCTTTATGAATAAGACTCTTATATTTACACTCATACCGCATATACAATTGCTGAGCTTATATTCGTTCCTATATTCGTTTCTTTCCCATATTCTCTTCACCATGTGAATCAAACTCAAAGCTGATACTCATCCTACAAATCTACATATATAGCTCCTACTTTTACCAGTGCACACTGCAGTGGCTCTAAGCTAATGCTCGTTCCTCTTCTCATATTCACTTCGCAGTGTGGCTCATCTTCTTAGCCATATCGCTCACACACTTGCAGTTACTCTCTCCTATATTGTTCAGTCCCTTATCCGATACTCTTCCCCAAATGGCTCAGGCTCTTCGCTGCTAATCTGACTACACACTCACCAGTAGCTCCTCGACTCCATGTAGCTTATACTCTTAGCTACTACTGTTTCTCATGCAGTTGAGTTGATAACCTCTTTACATATGGGTCAAAATCTAAGCACTTTCCTATATGCAAACTCTTTCCCATGTGGCTCAAACCTTGAGCTGTTACTCACCGCACTTTAGGCGTCCTCTTCTCATAGTTAATGCTAGTATTCATTTATAGTAAATATAAGATAATAAGATATAATATTTCAAAATAATATTTATAAAATGAGAGAGACAATTGAAAATTGTCAAGTGCTAGAGAACTTGAACTCTTTCTATTTATGACACAGAAAATATACTTTCCATGGAAAGCTTGACTCTTTCTATATATGTATATACAAATACATACACATATATTAAGCAAATAGTATAAATGTACATAAAACACAGGTGTCAATGAATGTAATTGAGTCGCATTAGAAGAGATGCCATCGAATGCCAGCTGTCAGCTGTTGACGTGAGTGGCGCTCTGCTGGCTGATGGATGGCTGAGCTGCAATATTCGTAAGTCGACGTAAGACGCTTAGACCAATTAGCCTGGTTATGGGAATGAGCTAGCTGAAGCCGCTTAACAATATCATTGAAAGTGCTCACATACCAGCGATGCACTTGCCATTTGCCAGGCTGCCGGGTTGCCAAGCAATGGCATGGAATGCCCGTGCTTGCAACAAATTGTGGCAGCGACAACAATTGAACTCGCATTAAAGAGAATAGCCAAGGCAGTCGAGACAGCTGGGGGTGCACTGCGCACGACCATGGGGCATAATTACGCTTTAAGCGCCGACTGGCACTTGATAGAGAGCCAGCCACCCATGCCGCCCAATCAGATTTTAAAGCTGCCCAGCAGCGGCGTCTTTAAGTGCTGCCGATTCGCTGAACGCGTCATTAATTCGTTCAAATGCTCTTGGCTGGCTGACTGTCCGACTGTCCGACTGCCCGACTGCCCGACTGCCTGGTAGCTGCATTTGTTTGTAGTACACCTGGAGAAAGAGCTGCAATGCATCCATTAGCAGCTATGCCATACGGCTGGGGCAACCACAGAGCAATGTGAGTGACCCCGTAAATGGCAGCGTTGCTAGATTGACTGCGCGCTGGTCCCTGCCAACTGGAAAAACAATAGTCACTTACCGCACCACACTCACAGCCAGCAACCCACTCACCAACCCACACATACATACATACATCTATAGAGCTGACCATGCCACAGGCACCGCCAAAACTGCCGCATTGTGTGGCCAAAGGGTAACCGCGCTGCGCCCCAAACAGTCAACGGATGTGAATTGAGAGCGGAAAGCGTCACAGGTAGACCAGCTACACACACACACACAGACACACCTATCTCTGTCTCTATCTCTCTCTCTCTCTTTCTGTGTGACAGTGGAACATTTTCTAAAGGAAAAAACTGAATAACTCTGCTCTAACCTTAGGTAAGAAAACTTGGATTTGTTCAACGATATATTCCTTCTTTGCTCATCATCTATAAAGATGTGCAACACCTTTATGCACTCTCACCTGCATCTGCTGGCCACAGTGCACACCACATGCAGACGAACAACATGCGCTCCACTGTATTGGAGGGCCGCCTCTGGCCCAGGGGAAGCCCAAACTGGTCCCAAATAGTTGTAAATTGTCGAAATCGCAAACAAAAACTGCGATTGTTAAAAGCGAAAAACAAAAGAAGTGAATAGGAAATAGCTGGAAAAAATAACAAATTGAATTACATGACTAGGTAATACCCTGTACGCACATATATACCATAAGTGTGTTTACATACTATATTATGTATATAAATAAAAAAAATATATATGCATATATGTATATAAATATAAAAATAATAATATTAATTCATTGAAAAATATAAATGATAGTATAAGTATAAAATAAAAAAGTACATATGCTTTTATATAATATATAATATATTATTTTTATTTAACGCAAATACTATATTGCATACAAATAAATTAAAAAAAAAAAAAACCTTATTAAAAAAATTATTGATAAAAAAGATTATAATTTTTTTAATTCAAAAAATGATTAGAAAAAAAAAATCATTTTTTTTTTAGCATTTTATACAATTACAAAAAAAAAATTATAAGTATTACTTTTATTTTAATTCAGTTTGTTTTCCAATAATATTTAAAATTATTTACATAAATCTACACAGCCAATAAAACATTTAAAAGGCAACCAAGCATTATGAACCTCTGCATATCATCTTCAATAATACCTGCAAAATAAGCTTAGCTAAGGAACAAAACTCTTTTCGTTTTCGATGCGTACAGGGTATCGAAAATCAATGGACTGCCAGCGCAGTCAACGCATACGCAGCGACCACTAAATAAGTGGAGCACGTGCACAGAGGATACAAGAATAAGCCCCATGGCCGAAGAGCTGCAAACAAATAAAGGATCAACATAGCTCCAAGTGCAGCCCACTTCATATATTAAATTGCCAAAAAAGTGCAAACGGGCATATCAGACTATATTAAAGGAATGCAATATATGTATACTTTGTTATTTGAGAAAAAATTATAGAAAAACATATTGAATATTTATATATTAAATATATTTAAAATATATTGGAAAGTATGAAATATTACTTATTGCTAATATATAAGATATTTTTGAATCAAATTATTAATTGTGTACGTTTTTTTTATAATTATCATATACATATATATATATATTTATCTATAATCTAAAATCCCTATATTATATATTATTATATTATATTATATATTATATTAATATTTCAATTTATTTCACTCATTATAACTATAAATTTTTGTGAACATAGTAATTTAAGAGTTTAGGCTAAGAAAATAGGCCTTTTCTGCTAGGATATTTATTTACATTCAGCATATACGATAATATAGAAAAATTCTGCAACAATTTTATCTTAAAAGCTAAAATTTGATTTTATTTTTTATTTACTTTCAACTCTAGCTAAATTAAAGGGTAGCACGTCGCATTCAAATGCAGGTAAAAGTTCACAATTTCCGCAAACTGTGACGAAAGCAAAAAAGAGAATCTACAGCTTCCGAATCTAATTTTCTAAATCATTTCACTGCAATCAAGCGAGCTTCGCTCTCTCTCTGTCGCTTCCTCTCTCTCTCTCTCTAAAGATATATATTTTTATAACAGTTTGCACTCCAATTATGGCATAGTCATAATACGCATCCCCTTCAAATACTTTGCCAAGCTGGAGTCGTGCAGGAGCTTCGAGAGAGAGCAGGAGATTCCCTAGCCGCTGCAATGCTCTTTGCGTGCTTAGCCGACTTTAGCCCACTTTTCGCGTTAGGCAAAATAAACAGCAGCTTACTTTATTTTTTTAACGGATTGCAAAGAGTTTTAGCAGGCACTAGACCGAGCTAGTGATGGCAAAAAATATTTCTAATCGATTATTGAATCATATTAAATTTAGCAGTGCAATATTAATCGAGATGCCTGAAGGCCTTTGTGGCTCTGGCCTAACAAAAATTGTTATGGAATTAATTCTTGGAAAAGTACTTCCATACTTTACCAGTTGTTGGTGCTATTATAAACAATAAAGCTCTTTTTTCCCGCCTCAAATTTTTCATTTACGCTTCTTAGTTCAGCAATTAATCGATTAGTGTTTCAATAAATTGAACCCCGCTTTGCGATGCAATTAAATTACAAATCGAAGCAAAATAATCGATTAATGGATATCATATGTTTAATCGTGCCATCACTAGCTGTAGTTAATAGAGCTGGAGAAGTAGTTGCATTTGACACTGAGATCGCTTAGAACTTATCTCTGCAGTATACCGTGATAAGCGCGCCCAAGTTACGGAAAATACCTTGACTGGCTGTTCTTGGTTAGTGTTAGTTGAACGACGATAGAGCTTGCACAAAATGTCGGGTGAGTGAGTTGAACAGCGTATACAAAAAGCATTGATATCCAGGGATGTCATCAGATAGCAAACTGGCTTCACTGCAGCCAGGTCAGCGTGTCGTCAAATGTTATTCTGCCTGACCATTATCTGTGTGCCTGCCTGACCATGGAAAGGTGCACTAGTGGCTCTAGTGTAAGTCTCCTTAAGATACATGTACATACATATGTATGTATAAATATGTGTATTGCCATCGTCTAGACCCACTGCGTGACATGCATATAACCTCGGTGTGAAATAGAATTTCGTTTATTGTCACCTCTTTATCTGGAGCTCCACGGAAAGTATTAGCTGACTACAGTTAATTGCCAATATTGATAAGGTCTAGACTATCTGGTTTTATGAGCGTGTGCGTTATTGGTTAGGTTAAGCAAGACTCAGATAATTTTGCACTCATTGACTCATACACGAAAATATAATAACGGCGTGCAGGTATAATGCTCATAAATTGATATATTCAACAGCAAAAATCAGAGCAGAAACTTGTTCGCCATGATTTAGCACAAAAATATATTTTGAATTTAATTGCGACATCTGCCGGCAGTATTGAGAACTATCAATGCAGCGCCATCTGTGCTATTAATGTTGAAGGGTCGCCAGCATGTTGCAGTGGCAACGCTGTGCTCCCACTTTGTTCGATAGTTTTCGTGGTCACAGCTGATTTCGCATTGTTAGCGCGCAAGTCTTATAAGGCCGCGAATCAAAACAGAGCTGCATATACAAAACACAGCAGGTATTGGCCAAGCATATTACCAACATAGAATTAGAAAATAATTGTAAACTGCTGAGCCATTAAGTAACAGAAATTGCAAAATGTTGCCACCTGACGCAGCAAAAATCAGCTGTTGATGCTAACAAGTAGTCGATAGTTGATCGACTGCCGTCGAATGTTTGGCATGCTATCGATAGAGTGCGTATTTATTCAGTAGATTTTTTGCGGCTCCAAAAGTCGGACGTGTTCGTGGTTATTTATTTTAATTTTTTTTTGTAAATGCAAACACTTGCCAACATTAAATACGTGTACTGCATTTGTTTATAAGGGAGCGTGCAATGAATGCGAATGCAACAGTGTTCGCTTTAACCAAGTGTGAGTGACTACCAATAGCAGGGACCGACAGCAACAGCAACAACAAGTGATCAAACACCCAAACAACAATCACACTAATAATAAAAGCTAAAATAGAAACAACAGCAACAACCACAACAACAAACAACGCTACTGCGTTAGCGCAACTGATTGAACTCCTCTCTCCTCTCGCCGCCTGTGACACGACAACACAACACAAACCAAAACACAGCAGCGCAACTGTTGTTATTATTGCCCAGATGAGTAAATAATAATTTGATATCAATTTGTAGGACTTAGACAATGTTCTATTCCGCTTATCTGTCGTCCATTGGCAATAACATTAATAAAAAACGCGGCAGATGTCGCCGCGCTCCCAGCATTACCATAAATATTAACATGCAAATGAAATTTAGCTTAAAGTCGCCCAACATACGCCAATATTTCTAAACATCTCCAACACTCTCGCTCTCCACACCTTCTCTCTCTCTCTCTCTCTCTTTCTCTTTGGCTCTGTCACATGCAGAGCTGGACATACTACATAGACCCATAGACCGAGCAACAACCACTACTCGCGGCGGCAACGGCAACGGCAACGGCAACGGCAACGGCGACGGCGACGGCGACTATTCGCAAGGCAACGTCAGCGCAAAACGAATTCTAATCAAGAAGTTCTCTTTACCGCTGCCGCTGTTGCTATTGCTGTTGTTATTTTTGTTGTTGTTGTTATTGATGTCGTCTTCAGCTGTGGCTTTTTATACTCTTCGCCCATTAGCCATGTGTGAAGTGGGTATATTGATTGTATGCACATGCCTGTAACAGTCAGTAATGTCATTTCATTGACCCCATCTGTGCATACGAGGGTGGTAGAAAATGTTATTTCCTTTTATTCATATTTACGTACCAATTTCATTAATTTCAAATGTCGACTATAAACAATATAATATGAATCGATTTGCTATTAATTTATCGATATGTTTATCCTACTTTCATAACAAATCGATAAAAAAAATTGTTATTAATTTATTTACAGTTATCAAATTAGACTTAGTGCCTTAACAGATCCAGCATATTTCAACATTTATGTATCACCCATTCGCATACCCTGTAAATCAATCGAATAGCAGCTACCATGCTTAGTTTTTGATTCACCCAGGGTATTCCCAGTTCAGGCACTCCCCAAAAGTTCACTTTTACTCATTTTTTTAATACACAACCTGCAATGTGTGTATGTGTGACAATTTAAAGACTTTGCTGGCGCTCCATTTGTTCCTATGCCTCCACCTCCACCTCCGCCTCTGTCACCCTCTCCCCTTCCGCCGTACCGGTCGTAGCTCGCGGCAATAGTTTCGCCTTATTTTGTCAAAGTTGATTGCACTTTTCGCTGGCGCGCAATATACATACATGCATACATACATAGTCAGATGGGTCGCATCAGAGCGGCTACTGCTGTTACTCAGGCGACGCAGCCTGTCAACGGCAGTGAGCTCCAGCGGAGCTCTTCAATAGCTGCATAGCTGCCTCGGCAGCTGCCACACAGCGCTCGCTCGCCTGTCAGCGTGCAGCAACAATTAGTCGCACCGAAAACAGACAAAAGCTTTCCTTGTTGCACCGCCAGCTCTGTGCGACGTGAACTTCAAGCTTTAGCGCCAACTCGCAAGTGAATTTGCCACAACATCTACATGCCTCGCCCCCATGTCCGACCCTCTGCGCCCCAGTGTTTCGTTGCGTGTGCCACACTGCTGGTTAGCAGGACCAAACGGGTATATCAGTTCATTACATTGCTTTTATCATTCAGCTCATTAATTACTGACGATAAATTGCCCAAAAATCTTTACCCAATACAGTTGAAGATTTACTGTTGCCCTTCGACTACAGTTTGAGAGTCATAGCAGAGTATTTGTACAGTCGGCAGGCTGAAGGCAAAGTTGTTTTATTTATGTACATAATTCACTCGGCACTTGTTATATTTATACTCGATAGCATGTGGCATGAGGCATGAGGCATGCGGCATATGCAACGTCACTTCATCTTCAACTTTGAATAGCCGAACGAACGAACATTCGCCATTTCCCAAATGAAATTAGACTGCAGCTCTCAGTTGACAGCTGAGAGTTGCTTCGCACTGAATAACTGAATAACTCAATAAGTTAGCTCATTGCCATGCAAATTGAATGTCCAACTGCACGACACAGTGTTACAACCACATACAGTGCGTACTGGCCCACCGTGGACACTCGAGAAACGAGTAAGTGATATTCTCTTAGATATTGCTCAATTTGGATCATTAATAATCTCTTTGAATGCATCAATAATTGAGCATATTCCCATGGCATAAACTGAATCCGCTCGCATTTCCCTTAGATTTGCATTGCATGCACATAAGTAGCGCTGTAGAAAAGGCAATCAGCATGCGGAGGCTTCACTGTTTAGCCTTGCGTGCTATGCAGCAACTGTTTAGAATTGGATTTTCATTTAAGTATGCGCTTAAATCGTAATCGTAATTACTTTTCTTTCGACTCGAGCATACGAAGATTGTGAAAAACACGTTCTAAATGCCACAACGTCGAGAAATTTTCAGAGGTATTACGTATAGAGGTATGACTCAACTTTTCGAATTGCTCTATTTAGCTTATGAATTATGACTATGTATATTATATATCAAATTGATTATATACAAATGAATATGTATGTATATGGCACTTTCTATGACCTCACTGCCTCTTTTTCAATCATCTACAACTCGATTTTATAGAAAGTAACTAAATGTTGCAATCAGCTGAAGGCGTGACTGATGCCATAATAACCGTACTATAGTTATAGTATACGATCGACAGCCGTGCCGATCTAATGCATCTAATCAGACAAGGTCACAGATCCAGTTTTTTTCTTTCATTCTTCAATATACGAAAAGCTGATATCAATCTTCCCTTCATCTGTTGAAATAGATGCAGATAATTTGATTTAAAGTCAACATTCGTCATATTATTACCTTGACTTCTGTAATCTTTTCCTAGCGTAGCGCCCCTATCTGACAAATTTATAGTTCTTCGGAATATACTCATGTATTTTTGGTTTGACTAAATTCGTAAACTTTTCCTGCAAATAGTTTATCAATTTTTATTTCGAAACTTTGCTTTGTTTTCGAAGTTTAATTAAAAATGTGCATCCATGCTGGGTGATACAATGTATTTTCTATCGCATCGATTCAAAGTCAACTCCGCTTCGCTGAGCAATTAAAATAGTATGTGCTGCAGTTTACCCCTTTCTTGAATAGAAGAGCGGAACATTTAGCTGGAAAGGATAACAAAGCATTTCAAATATTTACGCTTTGCCAAATGGAAAATTTAAATTAGCAATTAACAAAGCCGCTGCGAGAGCTCACAGGAAATTTCAGTCTTTCTTTCTTTTCATTAAAACAAACGCAAGGCTAAGATTAATGAAATTGGGATTGCTCAACAGATTGCTAAACCAATTAAAAATGTCAAAGACTTAATGGAGTCTACCCGGCGCACATATATAGCTGCCTTGACAAAGCTCTTGAATTGCAATTTTTTGTTCTCTTTCGTTCTTTTCTGTTACTTTTTTTTTATTTAAGTAAGGCATATGCATGTCACTTAATAAAAAATATATATATGTATTCATAAAAAATATTTAGTTTACATACGAAAGAAATGTCAGAGCGTCAAATGCATTTTAAAATTCGCTGACACAAAAAAAAAAAAAAAAAAAAAAAAAAAAACAAAGGCAATCGACAATAAATCAAAAAACCAATAAAAATGTGCATAACTATTAACATTAATAATTGGAATATAGCCAGCACTTGCATTACATTGCATTACAGATATATAATTATTATTGAAATTTGAATCTAACCACAACAAAAACTAAGTAAAAATCGTA